AGCCTTGAGCTATACAAATTCAACTATTGACACACCCTGTGAACTAGGGCATATAATCTGCATCTAAACTTTTATTTATAAATTGAGAAGAATGAAGATACTCACAGACCTCTTAGACCAAACTCATAGGGAAAACCCAGAATGTCTGCAAAGCCCTTTGTGAATTCCAGGTGACCCCTTTGGAGGTGACTCTTTATATTAGCAAGAAATGTACTACAGCAGACACCAAACTAAATGTGGCATAGAAAACATACTCTCTAAATATTATCAAGTTTCAACTTCTGCACCCTTAGGAAAACCTAAGTAGATGTTTTACAATGCCCCCATCTTTAAAAAAAAAATACATGATCCTTTATACTAAAAGAGAAAGGTGGAAATATGAGTAGAGGTCATTTCTATTTCAGGAACCTTACACAGTATGCCAGAAAAAAAAATGTTAAATCTCTTGTGTAGTTTGAAGATTTTTTCAACATTTCACAGAAAAACAGAATCCTAAACAGGTAAAGACATTTTTTGCTGAATTATTCTGTTTATTGGCTTCAGGGGAAGTGAGCTACAATAGAAGGCAGCCTGTCCCTGTTGCAGATGGTGTTTGGACAAAGTGTGAGGAGCAATTGGTTAAATTAGAAGGAGCATGGTAGGGGACTTGGTGTCATTAAAATCATTGATCCATTTTTTTAAAATGTATTTAGCACATCTTACAGCAGTTGCAAAGATGGCCCAATTACCCCCCACTTCCTGTACTTACTCATGCCATTTGACACTAGTCTTTGCATCTCTTGTCTCCAAGGAGTAAAATCTTCCCCCTCCTCATACTCTTGAACCTGGACTGGTCATACAACTTAGTTTAGGAAGGAATATAAAAGAATATCATGGGCAATGCTGTGCCAGTTCTGCACCTGAACTTGAAGAGGCCTTGTTCTCCTCACAACCTTGGCCAGTTCCCATGAGGAAAAGACGACAACCTGCTCACAAATGATAACCGCGCAAGCTAATAGGCATCCAGCCACAAGACATGTGAGTAAGATCATCAGAGACAGAAGCTCTAACATATTCATTCCCCTGTAACCAATTAGTGTAAGCACAGAGCTTCAAAGAACACTGCTTTAGTTAGCTTCAGTCCTTATGGGTTTCCACATGTGGCACTCTAATGTCAAAACCAGGGTAGCCTGGCTGCCATTTACTCTCAATCTTACCTTATTACCATTCTCAGAAACCACACTGCTCCTTGGGTAGCACTGACCTGCACAAATATCCCCAACCTCCATATTGTGTTAGATTCCAGTGAGGTTTTCTTCCACTTAAAAAAATCAGTGCATATTCACATTGTTCTGGAAAGATCATAGAATCTATGCTTGTGGACAGATTACTGCACTTGCAGCTCAAGATGATGAACACTTAATCTCTGTGATCTAGTCACCTTCCTTAATCAATCACTGAGACACCATATCTGACACCCACAAGTTAAAGGAGTGATTTGGCTCACATTTTCAGGTGTGGTCAGCTGGCTCCAAGGTAGAAAAGGCATTGGTGAAAGCATCTGGTGGAGGAAAACAGCTTACATCATGGTGGCCAGGAAGCAAAGAGCAAGAGAAGAAACCAGGGAGATAAACTCTTTCAGTCTCTCTCCCCAGTGACCACCTCTTCTGACCATGCCCAACTTCCTAAAAGTACATTCAGCTATAGAACTCTTATGATTCAATCACCTTCTAAAAGCTTCAACACTGTATGCATGAAGCTTTTGGTGATGCCCCAGATCTAAATGATAGCATTCCACCCCTGGCCCCCGAAAGAATTAAGTGCATGCCTTTATGCAAAAATGCATTTAGTGTGCATCTAAGAGTCATCAAAGTCTTAGCAGTTTCAGTACTGCTCAAAGTTAAACTCTTAGCTCTGAGCCCGCTACAATAATCAAAAAGAAATTTGAGCACTGCAGTGGCACAGTTTAAAAGCATTTTGTTTAAAAGCATTAAACAAAATTTGATATGCAGTGGCACAGAGTAAATATTCTCATTGCAAAAGGGAGAAATAGAAGAATAAAAAGGAATGGAACTGAAGCAAGAACAGAACCCAGCAGGGAAAACACTAAACCTTGTAGCTGCCTGTGCAGCACCCAGGGCAGATTTTGGCCTCCAAATAGCTTAGACAATGCCTCCTCTATAGCATTATGGGTTGCAACGTTGCAGGCCTCCCTCTTGGGGTATCTGTGTTCACTATCTGAAACTCTCCTCAGCAGACACTCCATGTTCCTGGCTTTTCCAATTTCATAGGTTCTTCACCTCAGTTTCAGCTTCACTTTCATAGCTGCATCCATTACTCTCTCGGGGGCACACTGTCTAGCCTTCCCAGCCTTCTGAAATCTGAGTGGAAGCATGCTTGGCCCCACAACTCTTACATTCTGCATGCTTGTAAAAGCAGCACAATGTGGATGATTCCAACGTCTCCCACCAGCTCAAACAGTAGTCAGGAGGTTGTGGTTCACACCTGATGGTTTATATCTAGATGTCATCCTAAAGCTCCATGCCAACAGGGATGAGACCTGTGGAAGGTGATGGATTATGGGGAATTACAGCTAAGTAGCTATTAGGTGAGGCCTGCTTGGGTGAGGCAGTCACTATACAGTTTAGGACAGGAGTAGGAAGTATTTTCCCAGTGTAATAAAATCAGAGTGTTAATTTATAGGTAAAATATTAATAATAGCCATATTAAATAGCTAAGTACATAATTACCTAACAGTCCTTGCTCTAGGTAGCTATATCATTTTTTATTAACTAGAAATCAAACCTTGCTCTAAAAGTGCCTCGTGGATCATTTATTGATCATGACAGTGAATTTATAAGGCAGATTTTAATTTCATGATCACCTTATATATGGAATGTAGGAGTGGAGTGGTTACTAAATTTCCATGCTCACATTTTTCATAAACGGTGTCTAGGTAGTTTATCTTCAGGACTTGTACACCATACTGTAATGACTATAGCGCAGTTCCCCCATTCTGGATTTATTTGACCTAAATATTGCCAAATACTCAGTAATAAATAAAATTTTCCAAAGATTCTCACTCTACCTTTATTCATTTATGGTCCAAAACATGTTTCTTAGGCTTGGCTTTTTTAAAAGTTAATTTTATTGGTGTAGTTTAGATGTACCTAGTGATCACACTCGTCATAGGGAATTTGTACCTATCCCCTCCCCTCCCTTCGACTCCTCTTCCCCTCCTTATTTATAAGAGCTTTGTTCCCATTTTTTCCTTCTAATGTCTTTTTTCTTTTTCCTTTTCTTCCTTTCCTCCTTCCTTTGTTCTCCTTTCCACTTGAATATTTTTTCTATTTCTCAACATCTATTATATAGAATTTTTTTCCGTAGATAAAAACGTAAGGTGGTTCTTGGGAGAAAATTGTCATCATGAAGAAACATTATGAAGTTCAGGGAATCAAGTAGAAAATTAACAGCAGATTAGAGAAATACATCCTTTTGATATCTAACCTACTACCATATTCATCAATACAGAGTTAATCTCTCATTCCTCCTTCCCATTTCACAAGTTGAATATAGATGATAGGAAGAATAAACAGGCACCAAAAGGAGGAGGAAAATCACTGACATTCATCATGGGCGTGATATTCTGAAAACCTAACTATACATCCAATATCTAGTTAGAGTGTAAGAGAGCTAAGCATTCTGAGGACACAGAACACTCCTGCACACAACACTCCTCTCCTCTCTGATGTCAACATGAAGTCCACGAGTTGAGGAGAAGCGACACGGAAGTGGGTGGCAACAGAGAGGAGCGCTGTGTGTTTTCCATCTCTGACTTACACAAGGAGCGGGGAAAAAGGAAGAGCACAGTGACCCTGAGTGAGGATTGTCTTCTCCCTTACTCGTTTAAGTTTTTAATGGTCCGTTACCCACACGAGGCCTCTGCATACACCAGCTGAGCAGAGCATCCGGTAACAGAGATAGCATAAAATAGACTTGAGTGAAGAGAAAGGACCTAAATATAACTTCACAGGAATTCCTTTTGACTATGCAAGGCATCAGTTCTTTTGCATGTTCTGGACAGATTCCAAAGGTTACAAAACTGAAAAGGCAGCAGGTGACATCTGGAACTGAGAGCATGTTAACAACTAGACATCAGGGTAATTATAAGCTGATCTGATGCCTGTTGTCAGCCTAGATTTTTGTTTTAGAAGGCTATTTTTTAATAAAAATGACCCCTCAGAATATTGTACCAAGAAAGATTGCTCTGAGAATATGATAAATCGTATGAAGAACAAGGTCGCTGTGCAATAAAAACACCCAATACGTCTCATTCGCTGAACAAGTAAATTGTTCGACAATTATGGCTTTATTCTCTCACTGCAGCATATCTCCCCCACAGAGAGTCAGAATAATTACAGAACTTTCCCTAATGTTTAATAGCACCCAAGTAGAGCAAGGCTTTATCTCCTTGTGTTCGCCCACACACTACCCAGTTATATATATATTGTGGTTATAGTTTGTATCTGAAATGTCCTCCAGAAACCTCATGTGTTCAGAGGGGGGGCTTTTCAAAGGAGATCAGACCATGAGGTGCTGTACTCATTAGTGAACTGATCACTGATGGCTGACTGTCCTGCTAGGAGGTGGAGCCTAAATGGAAGCAGTGGGTTATCGGGCAGGACCCGGGAAGGAGTAGCCTCCTTCTCATGGTTATAGTTTGTATCTGAAATGTCCTCCAGAAACCTCATGTGTTCAGAGGGGGGGCTTTTCAAAGGAGATCAGACCATGAGGTGCTGTACTCATTAGTGAACTGATCACTGATGGCTGACTGTCCTGCTAGGAGGTGGAGCCTAAATGGAAGCAGTGGGTTATCGGGCAGGACCCGGGAAGGAGTAGCCTCCTTCTCAGCCGTTCCCTTTACTGTCTGTCTGCCACGGATGTATTAGTCAGCCTTCTTGTCAGTGGGACAAAATACCAAACACCTGCAATTTAAACAGGAAAGGCTTATTTTGACTCACGGTTTCATTGGATTCAGTCCAGGGTCACTTGGCTCCAAGGCAGAAATAATACGACAGAATGGCATGGTGAAGGGAATCTGTTCACTGCCTGGTGGCCAGGACTCAGAGAGAGAAGAGAGGAATTGAGATGAGAAAATAGCTCACAGAGTGAGCAGTTTTCCACTGTCATGCCCTTTCTACCTTGGACTCAGACTATTGCGCATAGACTAAACCCTCTAAAACTGTGAGCTGAAATAAACTTCTCCTATTTTAAGATTCATGTAGAGAGCCAGGGATTTAGCTCAATGGTTCCGACACCTACCTCTCAAGCACAAGGACTGGAGTTCGAGCCCCAGGACCAAAAAAAAAAAAAAATGCATGTATTAAGTACTTTGCCCCCAAAACAGAAAAGTACCAACAAAAGCCCAAATCCCTCTTTGTTCTTTCTAACACCTTCTTACTGAGACACCTCCTGGTTCCCTCTCCATAAGTATAAATGAATTTAACATGTTCATCTACATTGTGTTCCTGTGCTTATTGAAGGAAAGCAAAGAGAGCTGGCAAGACTACCAGATTGGGTTGCCATGTTTGGGGTGAAGTGCACTATTGATTTGCCTTTGAGTATAACAAAAATACAAAATCTCAAAGAATACTACAAAAAATTTTGTTTATGAATTTGGCAGTTAGTTAAGCTACTAATCTCAGTTGCACTCATTAAGATTTCTGAGGGCATCTGAGCTCACTTTGGGCTGGGCTGATAAGTACTTTCATTTTGTTCCATGTTCTCTCATTCCAGGTGAGCTGCTCCTGCTGCTAGTTTGGGTCTAGAATGTGCCCAAATGGTGCAGATGCCCAAGGCTTGCTCCTTACCCTAGCACTACTGGGAGGCAGTAGAACCTCTCAGAAGTGGGGTCTGATTTGGAAGCAAGCATAGTGAGATGTCTCAGAAAAGTGGATTGAGGATTGCAGGAACACAGTCCCTTCTGTCTCTTTGCTTCCCAAACATGAAGGAAGCAGCTTGCTCCACAATGCACACTTCACCATGAGGTTTTGCCTCACTGAAGGCCCAGCAAGCAAAGGAGCCAATCAGGCGTGGACAAAATTGCCAGATCTTTCTCTTTGACTTGATGATTTCAGGTGTTGTTTACAGTAACAGAAGTATGACTAGCACAACTGGTACATTCTCAAAACGATGGTAGAGGCAAAGAACAGCAAGAAGAAATATATGCGGCCTATTGAGGACCTAGGATCAGAGTGGGCACAATATCACTACTGCCTTATTTCAAAAATTAAGAAAGGAACCTGCATTTATGAGCAACCAAAGCAAGGAGCAAATCCAGAGCATAGATGAGGCAACTTGAGGAACTGAATTCAACCACTTCAGTGAGAAAAACCGCAGAGTCCATGACAAAGAGTGTGGATAAAGGGAGGGCATGGCATGGGCTGTCACTGCAAACCACTAGAGTCCGCTTTTCAGCCTGCCCAGGATGGAGCTAAACACAAATTACAGCCTACCCTCAAGGAGCGTGCAACATCAGTCAGAGACATCCAGAGCAGTCAGCCCTCCAAGGCCTGCACATCCTTGCCTCCCTTTTCTTGGGTGCTCTTTCACCCTGCAGGTTATGGGGAACTGAAAAAACGAATATTGATTTTCTACACAGGGTAGTCTCTACCCAAGGAAACACTTAAAATGTTAGTGTGGACCAAGTGTTATAGAAGATTAAACTAAAATTAACTTTTTTCACCATTAGCCAGCAGTGTGACATCAGCAAAAGACCCTGAATAGGGAAAATAAATAAGGGCAAACTCCTCTGCAAATCAGAATTATGCAAGTGTGAATTTGTGGCCTTTAATATATTTACCAACAACAGCTGTGACTGATTCAAGAAGTCTAAAATGTTGGAGGACCTCATTCACAAGGCTTGCTATCATCTCTGACCTAGACATCAGTATTATGAACATTTTATCCATCTGCCTGCTTGGAAACACTCATCTCAAACTTTGAGACCCGACCTATTTAGTAGCATTATGTCTAAGTTACTTTTAAAATGAAATTACTTTATAAATACCCCCCAGGCTATTGTGAGAATCAAATTAGAAAACAGACATGAAAGTAGTCTGAAAAGTTAAAATTGTTTTAGAGATGTAAACTTGCCTGATACGCTCTTACAGTAATAACCATGCAAGTGTGCTAACAGACTTCGCTTTCTCATTATCCAACCGACTAGGATGGAAGAATAAACACTGGACCCAGTCAAGACTCACATGTCTGGATTCCAGTTCTGTCACTGGTTAACAATGTGCCCCCAGGCAAGCCTCCCCGGCCCCCTCCAGAATTTGACCTCATTAGTAAAGTGAGAAAGGAAAAGTGGAGCCAGAGGATTTCTGATGCATTTTTGAACTCCAAATAAAATTTCTTGATGACGTTTCCTCCAATAACATGTTTAATTATTTGAACATTATACACACAATTTTTAAAAATCGAAGGTGCCTGCTTTTAAAACAATAACAAAATAATTCCTAGATTTAACTTTATGGCAGCCATCTAGTTAGTGTCTCTGGGCTTGTCTGCCCTATCCGTGCTCTACCCCACCTCTGCTCTGAAGCTTTCTCTCAACTATAATTCTGTTTTAAGGGTTCTCTCCAATGTCCCCATAGCTCTGTTCACTCCTTCATCACCAAATTCACCATCTTCATTGTTGCCAGTTGCACACTAGCAATCATTACAGAAAATCCATCCATTCTAAACTAGAAACTATACTATTAAAGCTAGTATAATATTATTAATGCTCACAAAAACTCTTCGTGGCAGGTTTACTTCTCCTTATTTCACATATTAAGAACCTTAGGTACCGAGAGATTGGATATGTTGCCAAAACTCACATGACTCAAAAAGGAAAAATCAGATGTCACTCTCATACCTGGCTACAAAGTCCTTGTTTCTCACTAAGTCGTAATGCCTCTTGATCTGAACCAGAAATCTTCGTGCTGTAGTAATTTGATTGTTGTTGTCTCTCCTATAGATCGTCAGTTCCTTGGTGGTTGAGAATACTTGTTCTTTTTTGTGATCCCAGTATTTAGTCCAATGCCTGCAACATAAAAGATATGCAATTAATGGTTGCCTGTTGAATAAATTATACCAAAGACATGGCCAATTTCTCCTATTACATTTAACATGCGGTATTAAAATTCTCTATAGTGATACATCATTTTATAATGGCTTTCTTGTGGCTCTTCTGCACTGCTGGGGATGGATCCTACTAAGAGGAAGCTCTGTTGTTGCACCGTATACCAGCCATATGCAGGCGCTTTAACTCAAGCCCTAAGTAGCAGAGGACTTCTTAGTGTTCAGTATTGCCAAATACTGTAGTAAATAGGAAAAGCAGAGGACTTGGTCATTGCTTTTGAGACCTGTGATTCAAGACGAATAAAGACAGAGAGAGAGAGAGAAATATATAAACGATAATATAAGGCCAATGTAATGAAGTATGCATTTGTTTAGAAGAGACAGCTTTCCTACCTAATTTCAGAAGGAGAAAAGATTACATCATCATTGAAGTCCACGAACACATAGAAAACAACCAAGTAATTCTTAGGCTTAATTTTCTTAGCGAAGGTTTCTTTGATACTAAACCCTTGCGAATCCCCAGTTTCCGCATCTGTTGTGTGTGTGTTTGTTTTACAGTAATGTCTCCTCTTCTTCTTCTTCATCTTCATCATCATCATCATCATCTTAAAAATGGAGGCACTCCCGTCTCAGCCTGCAAATGAGAACCAAGACCTGTCACGTAAAGGTGCAAGATTCCAATGATGAATGTAACTGTACTGTATACCTAAAAAGGACCAATAAACTCAAGGCAAAAAAAGAAAAAATATGCGAAACTACTAATGTGATCCTTACAGTTGTCCCTGCTTATTTTTTTGAAAAGATTTTCAGACTACAATAAAGGAAGAACAAACCCAACTAAAGCTTGACACAGCCCTGAGGCCAAGGAGACAGAGCTGAGAACTCTGGGACATCCGAGCAGCTAGAAGAGGAGGGAGCTCTACAGGGTGAGCACCAGCCATCTGCAGTGGAAAACGAAGAATCTGCTAGGAGCTGAGGAAAGAAAAATCCAGAACTTGAGTCCAGTACTTGGGCTCGGGCAGGTCCAAAACAGTAACTATTCCCACCGTTCTAACTGAAACAAAAACAAAAACAAACAAACAAACAAACAAAACCCCAACATGATGCACAGGATAATGAGGGGAGTTACTTAGGTAGGTCTCTCCCACATAATGGAAAATAGTTGTACATAAGACAAGAACTGCTCATTTCACAGCTAACAAGTAAGTGGAACTGAAGGAATCTAATTATTTCTAGGTAATTTACCTGTACCCAGAACAAAGTACAAATATATGTGAGAATACAAAAATACCCAGCACTTACAAAGTCATAATACTGGAAATGCAAAGAAGTAAAAAAATGTGACCCAGAAAAGGGGGAAATAATCAGAATGAACACAGATTAGCAGGCAAGAACATTGAAAGAGCTATCAGAGTTGAGATCCATATGTTCAGACATTAAGGGAAAACACAGGAGACATAACAACACCCACGCAGAACTTCAACTTGAAAACTACAATGTGTGCAATGAAAAATATACCGAATTGTATTATGGACACATTGGATACAACAGAAGACAAGGGAACATGAAAACAAAACAACAAAAATCATCAAAAATGAGATTCGGGGGACAATTTTGCTTTTTTTTTTTTGCAAAAACGTTATCAGTGAACTGTTAAGACAATATCAAGCAGGTCAGCAAATGTATAATCGGAAAAAAAATAAAAGGAAAATGATACAGAATATTTGAAAAAGAATGGGTAAAATTTTTCCAAACTTGAAGAAAATTATAAATTTCCAGATCTAAGACATTAGATGAATTCCAAGAATAAGAAATGTCAACAAAACTACACAAAGCACATCTTAATCAAATTGTATAAAATCGGTAATAAAAAAGTATAAAAATTTCAAGAGGACATGCATAGATATAAGCTATTTTGAGAGTCAAGTTAACAAGGCTAGCTAAAAGGATTACATAAAAGAAGACTGCAGTGGGAAAGTCACTGTGCCCATGCTAAGATTAAGTAGATATAATAAACAGAAAAAAACATAAATATGCCTCACTGATTTTTGGCAAACACTACAAAATGAAAGATGGTCCTTTCAAGAAATGGTGCTGGAATGAAACAAAAAGATGAGCTTCACACCATATACAAAACTTCAAGCAGATCATGATTTTTCATGTAAAATATAAACAAGGAAACTGTTACAAGAAAACATAGGAGAAAAATCTTCAGACCTGTCTCAATATTGTATCAAAAATATAATCTATAAAAGAAAAAATTGAAAAGACAAACTTTATCAAAATTTTTTCAAAGATATTGCTATGAAAGCTCCTGTTAATAGGATAAAATGCAAGTGAATTTTGCAAAAAATATTCATAAACCACACATTCAAAAAGTCTTGCATCTAAAAATGCAACAGTAAAAGACTGAGCAATACAATTAGAAAATGGTCAAAAGACCTGTACGTAGGCTTTACAGCAGTCTTATTTATAATATTTCCAAACTTGGAGCAACCCAAATATCCATGAAAAAATAAGTGAACTGTTATATTTATGATTAAGGATGTTAACTTACAATAAAAAGGAACAAGCTATTGACTTGACACATGCATGTTTCCCAAAACAATACTGGGGAGTGAAAGATTCCAGGAAAAAATAGAAACATGCTTTATAATTCCATTTATTTATCTGCTAAGGCAAAAAACATTATCATCAGCTGCACAGTGTCTGGAATAGGGTAGTGAGGGTGAATGAAATGCAAGAAGAAATGAGAAAATTTTTGGAATTGTGAGACATATGTTATAGTATGGGGACTGTGGCTTCCTGAAGGTACCCACATATGTCAAAGCTCTTCAGATTCCACACTGCGATACATGCAGCCGATTATACATCAGTTACACCCCAAGAGCTGGTAATTAAAAGTCATGTTGGTTTCCTGCACTATCACTACAGTGATGTTTCACAAATGTATAAATTGAACTGTTCTCTGTTGTGTGGATTATGAGTCCATAAACGCAGTCATCTCCCTCTTCAATCTCTGCATGTGGACGTGTCGCTGATGACTTCAATGGTTCAAACTGAGCAGCATCCCTTCCCTGCGTACGTACCCCACTCAATTGTTGGACGATTTATCATTTTTTTCTTCGCTTTGTCTCATAACTGATCTATTCAATAAGTCTGGAAACCTGTTTACCTTTTTAAAAACACCCACAGACTGCCCACTTATCACCATCAGCACTGATGGCGCATGGCGAAGCCTTCACCACAACTTTGTCACTTCTGCCTCCTTTCCTTTCCTCTTTCATTCCTTTTCTATGCTTTGTTCTCAACACAGAATCAAACTTTTTATAAAGTATCTACTCTTTCTGGTTATATGCTTTACAAAAAAACTCCCATAGATTTCTATATACCAAGGTTGAAATATGTAAAGCCCTTACAACACCGTAGAAGATAATCCGCCCAGTTCCCATTCCTCCTTGGTCTCACCTCTTCTTACTGTTCCCCAGCTCATTGTCTTCAGCCCCTTGGTCTACTTGCAATTTGTCAAGTACGGCTTGCATGCTTCCACCCCAGGAGCTTTTCATTAGCATTTTCCTCTGCCCCACGTGCTTTTTCCTTAAATATCCACATGGTGGCAAGAGGTCAAGCAATTTCTATATAGCAATACAGATGCCGGAATGACTCTTGATATTCTTATCATTTTTGGTCAATAAGGAAACAAGTCCAGTGAATGTAGATAGATTACTACTCTCTGCACAACCAACAGCAAAAAATCTGAGGCTGACATCAATTGATTCGTCCCCAAGTCCCTTGACGGCAACACAGAGCAGCTTGGAACCGATGCTCTTCGCATATCTCTGTCACAACCGAGGACCGCTCGTGGAGATGCCTAGTTTTAATGAAGGGTCTCTCACAAAATCTTCCCACCCTCTCCTCCATAGAGAGAGATGCTGTCTCACTGCTGGGAAAGTAAATCTGTTATTTTTTTTTTAATCTCATTGTGTTTATTGGTACATTTTAGGGATACAGTACAGTTACATTCATCACTGGGATCTTGTACCTTTACATGACAGGTCTTGGTTCTCATTTTTTCCCTGTACCCCTGCCCTCCCTTCAC